CTTTCCCTGCAGATCCAGAATTCTCGCCAGGCTCTCCCCCTCCCTGGCAGTGCCTCCCCAGTGCCTGCTGTGGGAGCCTCTTTCTTGGCCCACTGCCCTTCTCACTCTATGGCAAGCCCTGGACACTGCCATCCCCTTCAGCCTCTCTGCTGAGGTCTCCCTATTCTGTATCTGTGCTGCCCTCTCCCCAGAGGGACACAACCACGTATCTGACTTCCACCCTGACCTCCCCCTCTGAATGTTCCACAGCTCCCTTAACCCTGAAGGAGCCAAAATAGAACTCATCATTTCCAAGACTGTAGCTCACATTCTTCCCCCTCCAACCTGAACCTTTCCATGTTCCCCATGCCCAAGAAGGGTACCACCATGCAGACACTTGTGCCAACAGGAAACAGTCAACTTGGGCTCTTCCCTATATCCCACTGCCCTGTGGTGTGTTACCGAGGCCTGGCCAGTTTGTTGCAGGAGAGAATGCTCATGTCCCAGGTCACAGGTGAGTCCCTGGGATGGGTCACCAAGTGAGGGTCCTTGGCTTCGCACGGGAAAGAATTCAAGAGCGAGCCATAGTAAAGTGAAAACAGGTTTATTGAGAGAGATACACATTCCATAGGCAGAGTGTGGTCCATATCAGAAGGCAAGAGCAGCCCCAGGGCATGGGGTCATCTCAGAAAATGAGAGCACCCCGAAATATGGGGTGGTTAGTTTTTGTGGGCTGGGTAACTTTATAGGCTAACGAGTGGGAGGTTTATTCCAACTATTTTGGGAAAGGGGCAGAGATTTCCAGGAATTGGACCACTGCCCACTGTTTGGTCTTTTATGGTTGGCCTTGGAACTGTCACGGTGCCTGGGAGTGTGTCATTTAGTATATGCTAACGTGTTAAAATGAGCATATAGTGAGGCTCAAGGTCTACTGGAAGTTAAATCTTCCGCCATCTTGGGTCTAGTTGGTTCTAAGCAGTTTTTGTTGTATCCTCAATGGCTATGTCATCCTTTTAATGGTTGTGCCCTGCTCCCTTCCCTCTTGTCTCAAGTTGACCTCATAAGCATCCATACACATGGCCACCGCCCTGGTCTGATAGAATATCACTTTTTTTTGTTCTGGTTTTCTGTTTGTTTTTTGTTTTTGTTTGTTTTTTTTGGTTACATTGGGTCTTCATTGCTGCGTGCGGGCTTTCTCTAGTTGCGGTGAGTGGGGGCTACTCTTCGTTGCGGTGTGCGGGCTTCTCATTCTGGTGGCTTCTCTTGTTGCAGAGCACAGGCTCTAGGTGCGCGGGCTTCAGTAGTTGCAGCATGCGGGCTCAGTAGTTGTAGCACATGGGCTTAGTTGCTCTGCAGCATGTGGGATCTTCCCAGACTAGGGCTCGAACCCATGTCCCCTACATTGGCAGGTGGATTCTTAACCACCATGCCACCAGGGAAGTCCAGAGAGGCTCCAATCAATGCAAGGTGAAGCTTCCATTGCAAATTGAAGTTGTGCTTCCATTGCTTCTCTGGCTCTTGCTTGCCTCTGATGAGGCCAGGTTTCTAGCAGATGGTCAAGGTGCTTTGCGACTGAGCCCTGCTATCCCTCCAGCCACACCTTTGCTCATGCTTTCCTTTCCATCCTAGAATTCCCTTTTACCCTCTGTCTCCCCTGTCTAAATGCCCACCCCTGAAGGTACAGCTGAACCTCACTGCCCCTCAAAATCCATCGGCAGATCTCCCTCCCTGACCTGCCCAGTTTTCCCCTCTTCTGTCATTACTAACATCCTTCTGAGTGTTAGCCTTGGATTCCAGCTGGGCTGTAGGAACTTGAGGATAAGAGCAAGGCCCTTACTACAGCCCAGTGGCAAGGTGGGAAGGATAAGGATCATGGAGTGTAGCAGACCCCAGTTTGACTCTGGTTCTATCCCTGGCTTCCTTGTTGACCTTGGGTAAGTTACTTGAGCCTAGTTGTGTGGGTTTTTTTGGTTTGGTTAAAGTTATTTCATGGCCTCACTTGTCTTAAAGACCACTATAAAGATCAACTGAACTTACAATGTAAAAGAATCTGGTAGTCTCAGGTGAGCCGTAGCCCTACTCTTGCTTGTCCCCCACATCGATAGACTGGAGTCACAGACCTGCACGTGTTCCCAGGTTCACTCTTTATCTGTGTCACCTCTGGAAAATCACTTAATGAGCATCTCCTAGAGCATCAGTCCCCTAATCTGTGGGGTGGGAACGTGAGAAGATTAAATGAAATGCAAAGCTCCTGGATCAATAAATGTCACCTGCAAAATGCTTGGTGAATGAAATTCTGAAACGTACCGCTTTGTCTCTAGGAGAAAGTGGTTCATGGCTGGGCCTTCGGTTCTAAATAGCAAATTAAGGAGGAAAAGCTCCAGAATGCTCTGGACACCCCCTCCTAGCCCTCTCCACCCCACTGCCCACAGCTGAGTCAATGCCAGTCTCCCCTTCTCCCCTCACCAAGGACAAAAGGGAAGGAAATGAGGCCACTTCACTTGCTCTCTGACTGGATCTGTCTCCTCACCCGAGGTTGTGGGTGAGTCTGTCTGTCATCTAGTCTCTGCAGCAGCCTCTGTGCTCATAGGATCCTTCTAAAAGCCAGAGGACCTGCACTGCCAGGAAGGGCTCCCTGGTGGCCATGGAAACGTTTGAATCTGGCATCCCTGACCCTGGCATTTCGACTCACTCTGGGTTGTGGGCCTGGGAGGCCCATGGAGCATGCTTGTTCTGGGAATATTCCCTCTCCAGCTAGTCTGCTCCAAATTCTATCACTAGTCTTTCAGAATATCTCTTTTTTTTGGTGAATAAACTCTGTAGATTGTATTAATGCCAATTTCCTGGTTTTGATATTGCACTATAGTTATGCAAGATGTTACCATTGGGGGAACCTGGGTAAAGGATACATGGAACCTTCCTCTTCATTTTTTTCCCCAACTACCTGTGAATCTATAATTATTTCAAAATTAAAAGTGTCTTGTTTAAAATCACCTTTTCAACTTCCTTTCTATCCCCAGGCCACCCTGAGTCCAGGCTCTTATCACCTCCCTCTTGGACCCTTGCAACCACCTCTTGGTTTTCCTTCTGTCTTCGGTCTTGGCACACACTAGTCCATCCGAAGAATCTCCAAGACCCCGATTTTGAGCTATCTCACCCTGAAATAACCACCAGAATCTACTCTCTGTTTGCTGGATTGAGCTGGCACTCAAGGCCCTCCAGACCTTTCCAATCTTACCTGCTACTTTTTATTTTGCTCATGCCCTGCCTCCACACAGCATCCTCCTGCTCAGGAGGATGAGGCTGTCCTACCTCCTAATTCCAGAAATACCCTGTCCCTTCTCCATTAACAGTAAAAGCCCATCTGAATTTCCCCTGATACTAAGAAGACTTTCCCAGCAGTTGAATGGGAGTAATAATAGGTCCCATGGCTCCTTGAAAGGATCCAATGTGATGACGACTGGAATAACGCCTTTAATAACGATTATCAGTAAATTCTTCAAGGGGAGGCCTGAGCAGAGACTGTGTTACCGGCCCCCTACCCTGTGAGGCCACACTGCCTCAAGGGCCAAACCCCCTTAAATAGACAGGCCGCGTCCTTCCGGATGCCCGACGGTCAGGCCCCGCCCCTCGGGACGCTCCAACAACAGGCCCCGCCCCCGAGACGGGCCAAAGACCAGGCCGCGCCCCTCGGGACGCACTAACGGCCAGGCCCCACCCCGCGTGCGTGCACCGCCCTGCGGAGACGTGCAGGCCCTCGCGAGGCCAGAGGCTGAGGTGGCAGTGACTCTGCCGACATGGAGCTGCTACAGATGCCGGAGTTGATGGGGCTGTCGCTGTTGCTCGGGCTGCTGGCCCTGATGGCGACGGCGGCGGTAGCGCGGGGGTGGCTGCGCGCGGAGCAGGAGACGTGCGGCCGGTCGGCAGGTTAGTGGGGCGGGGGCGCGTGGGGGCGACCCGCCGGACCTGTCGCTCCCGGCCTCCCCGGGGTCCGACCGACCGTTTGGGCCTGCGGGGGTGCCAGATATCCCGCCCTCCCTCCGGCCTTAGTTTCTCCTCTTGAGACATCAGTTTCACTTCGGGACGACCTGTTAGAACCTAGGCCCCGCGCTGCCGAGCTCTCCGTGGCCGAGCTTCTCCCCGGGGCTGCTGCGGGGACGCTGGGAAACTCTCCAGCGCGCTCCTTGTTCGTTATTTTCTGAAAACGGGGAGGAGGGGACGGACATTCATTTGTGAACGCTCTGGTTCCCCGACATGCAGCATTTATTGAGTACCTGCTACCTCCCGTAGGCTTTGGGGTCTTTTCCTTTAGGGAGTCCAATGTCGGGTAAAAAAGAACAGGTGAAAATGTAAGTGAAAAATATAGTGTAGTAGGTTTCATAGGAAGGTCAGTACTAGACACAGGAAACCCAAAGGTGGGAGTGGTCAGCCCTGCTTTTGTCGGTGGGCGTGGGGGAGGGTGTTGTCAAGTAGGGAACACTTGACGTGGGGTCTTGAGGGATAGACGTGTAAGAGTTTGCCAGGAGGCCAAGAGAGGGCGCATATTCCTGGCAATGGCAACATGCGTGAAGCCAAGGAGTCCTGGAACAGCATTTGGTTTGACTGTAGTGTGAGGGGAGAGGGGAGGGCTTGTTAGACAAGGCTGGAGAGGCAAGCAGAGGGCAGGCAGATTTGTCTTTGTATGTGGCCTCAGGAGCCTTCTTCCTGTAGGAATTGAGGAGCATCTGTAGCGATCTAACATATGCCAGCTTTGCTCCTGGCCTGATTTTCAATTAAATTAGATATTTGATACAAAAATGGCACCATTTCCAGCACATGGGATGTACTCAACTCACGTCAACTACCTCTCACCTCTGGGTTCTCTCTGGGATTCCTTTGAGCCTTTTAATGCTTGTGTTGGGTACTGTGCTTGTCATTTTGTATATATTATCTCACCCAATTCTCAACTTCTCTTTTAGAAAACCAAGGCCCAGGGCAATTACCTGAGATCAGGGTCACTAGATTCCGGTGTGCACATTATCCCCCACTTAGAGATGTCTGGCCAAGAATCTGCATTCCACTGGCCATTCTGTGTACTTGCTGAGCTGTGCCTGCCCAGAGAGGGCGCCTTTTCTGATGTGCAACGAGGTGCTATATGGTTATGTTATATACACTAACAGCAAGCAGCCTCCTCAAGATCACTCAGTGGTAGAGATGCAATCCAAACCCAGGTCTGATTCCAAAGCCTCTGTTTTTTCCATATCCCTCTCTTCTTGAGGACAGGGGCCATATCTGGTCATCTCTTGTGCCTCCATTCAGTGCCAATCGTAGGTGGTCAGTAAGTGCTTATTGAGTGAGTGAATGGACGAATGACATGGGCCTTCCTTGTAGGCCAAAGAGCAAATGGATTTCCACCTGACAAGTCCTTGAGATCCAAGAAGCAGAAACAACATCAGCGGATTCACAAGGAAAAGCCTCAGCAACACAACTTCACCCACCGCCTCCTGGCTGCAACATTGAAGGTACATGGTGCCCATGCACAGGACATGTATACAAAGACTCACACCCCCGTAGACTTTTCCTTTGTAGTATTCTGTGCATGTTACAGACCCCTCTGCCTCTGACCAAAATCAGTGGGGATGCCCCATCCTATCCCTTCTCATCACATCCCATCAGCAGCTTGCTGTTAATCTAAGCAACAGGGCTCCAGAATCATGGCTGCATGGGTTTCCCCATTTGCCCAAGGGGTTCCTGTTCATACTTGCTGCAACCCTTCCCCTAGAGCCACAGTGGGAACATATCTTGCATGGACTTTAGCAGCAATGGCAAGTACCTGGCCACCTGTGCAGATGACCGTACTGTCCGCATCTGGAGCACCAAGGACTTCCCGCAGCGGGAGCACCGCAGCATGAGAGCAAATGTGGAGCTGGACCATGCCATCCTGGTGCGCTTCAGCCCTGACTGCAGGTGGGACAGGATGGAGCCCCAGGTTTGCCTGCAGAAGCCCTGACCCAGGCTTATGTCCTTCCCATACCTTGTTTGGGGTAGTGAGGGGGGACCCAGGGTCTCCCTTGAGGTGGCAGAAAGGGAGCATCCAGACAGCTTGAACACCGCCTGAGGCTCCTTGGAGGGCTATGGAGCTACATAGCAAGGAAGCAGAGAGGGGAAGGTCTCTTCCTCCTTGGGAAGTACGGAAGCCTGCCTTCCAGAGCAGTCTTGGAAGCTCTAGTGGTTTTCTAAACCCTAGAGAGAAGCTAAAGCAGCCAGAGCTATGAGAGGCTTACCTTGTAAGGGGTTTTAAGAGATTTTGAATTAAGGGTTTAAGTTGTGAGGCTGGACTATAAGTCCTGAAGGGAGATCTTGATTTTCCTCAGAGCCTGCCTAGCATAGGACCTGGCACACACAGGTCTCTGTGCCCAAAGGAGTGAGAGACTTGTCTGCTCTCTGTCTCTAGAGCATTCATTGTCTGGCTGGCTAACGGAGATACCCTCCGTGTCTTCAAGATGACCAAGCGAGAGGATGGGGGCTATACTTTCACAGCCACCCCAGAGGACTTTCCTAAAAAGCACAAGGCAGCCATCGTCAACATTGGCATTGCTGACACAGGTGAGGCGTTCAGAGGATGGAGCTTGCCCAAGGCAAGGGGGAATGGCCCCAGTTTTACTTACTGAGTGAGCGAATGCAGCCTGAGAGTTATGCTTAGCCCCAGTGTGACAAAAAGGGCCCTGGCTCTGGGCTCCCCTGGAGTCCTGGGAGCCACAGCAAGTCCCCTGGGGGAGGCAGGTAATAGCCACAGTCTTCAACCAAATCCTTATCTGTGGTGACCCTTGGCTTGGGAGGGAAGCATGGATACATTACATTGGGCAGCAGATGCCTTCATAAGTCAGTCGATCAGGTCATGGACCTCAGCTCATGGCACTCCTCTCGCCCTTCAGGGAAGTTCATCATGACTGCTTCCAGTGACACAACTATCATCATCTGGAATCTGAAAGGTCAGGTACTGTCTACTATCAACACCAACCAGATGCACAATACATTTGCTGCTATATCCCCTTGTAGCAGGTGAGGAAGGAGGGACTTTGGCCTCGGGCATGGGCAGAGGTTGGGGCTGGGGGGCTGGGGACAGAGCAGAGAGCCAGCTTCAGAGAGCAGAAGGGGCAGGCAGTGTGGAATCAGGACACCTAGATTCAAGTCCTTAGTCTCTATTTCTTCATCCATAGTTTTTAAGCGGTTGGGGTGGGGGTACTAAGTGTCTTGCAGCCTGGCTGTGAGGATGGACTGAGGTCATGTATAAATGCAGTTTTCGGGCTTCCCTGGTGGCACGGTGGTTGAGAATCTGCCTGCCAATGCAGGGGACATGGGTTCAAGCCCTGGTCTGGGAAGATCCCACATGCCGCGGAGCAACTAGCCCCGTGAGCCACAGTTACTGAGCCTGCGCGTCTGGAGCCTGTGCTCCGCAACAAGAGAGGCCGCGATAGTGAGAGGCCCGCGCACCGCGATGAGGAGTGGCCCCCACTTGCCGCAACTAGAGAAAGCCCTCGCACAGAAACGAAGACCCAACACAGCCATAAATAAATAAATAAATTAAATTAAATTAAAAAAAAACAAAAACAGTTTTCAAAGGTAGCGTTTTAGGTACAAGATTAATTAACTTTCTCAGGAAAAAGTTTTGGTGGATTTGCAGAAAAAGATTCCCTTAAAATTAAGTTTTAATGCAACCTGGGTTGTATGGCAGGTTTGTGGCCTCGTGTGGCTTCACCCCAGATGTAAAAGTTTGGGAAGTCTGCTTTGGGAAAAAAGGGGACTTCCAGGAGGTTGTGCGAGCCTTTGAACTGAAGGGCCACTCTGCAGCCGTCCACTTCTTTGCTTTCTCCAATGACTCCCGGAGGTGAGTGACTCCTCTCTGATTTCTTACCCATGACTTGCAGCCCCTCTTGGCGTCCAGGATCCTTCTGCCGTTCTCTGCAGCGGCTCTGAAGTGGGGGAGGGGTGCCTGGCCCGCAGCAGGAAGTAGACGTAGCAGTGGACTTGGCTTCCTAGCTGGCGTCCGTAGCGCTGTCCCAGTGCCCTCCCCTCCAGGGTGTGTTGGGGCTAGAGCCGTGACCTTCCCTGCTGCAGGATGGCCTCTGTCTCCAAGGATGGTACGTGGAAACTGTGGGACACAGATGTGGAATACAAGAAGCAGCAGGACCCCTACTTGCTGAGGACAGGCCGTTTTGAAGAAGCAAGCACCATGCCATGCCGCCTGGCACTCTCGCCTGACGCCCAGGTTTTGGCTTTGGCCAGTGGCAGCAGCATTCATCTCTATAACAGCCGGCGGGGTGAGAAGGAGGAGTGCTTCGAACATGTCCATGGGGAGTGTATCAGTGACTTGTCCTTTGACGTCACTGGCCGGCTTCTGGCCTCCTGTGGGGACCGCGCAGTGCGGCTCTTCCACAACACCCCTGGCTACCGGGCAGTGATGGAAGAAATGCAGGGTCTCCTCAAGCGGGCCTCCAATGAGAGCACCCGCCAGAGGCTACAGCAGCAGCTGACGCAGGCCCAGGAGGCCCTGAAGAGCCTGGGTGCCTTGAGGAAATGACTCTGGGAGGGCACAGCAGGAAGGATCTGGCCTTCTGCCTTCGCTGCCGTGGCTCTTCCCGAGTACTCCCCAGCTGGAAGCCTTTTGAAAGGGGTGTGCTGATTTTCTTAATGGTGACTCCTCTCTCCTTTTTCCCATTGAAACTGTTCTTGCGTACTTAGATCTCTCTCTCTTCTTGCTGGTGTGACTCCTGGCCTTACTTGACCTCCCAGGCCAATGACCAAGGTGCTTCTCTTTTTCCTGGGCCCAAGGGGTGGAATCTGTCTTCACCAGGCACTGAGGAGAGTGGTAATTAGAAGAGAAAGAGAGAACATGGTCTTTGACCTTGTGGCAACACACCCTGCTATCCAAAGAAGTGTGTAATTGTGGGACTTCCCTGACGGTCCAGTGGTTAAGACTCTGTGCTCCCAATGCAGGGGCCCTGGGTTTGATCCCTGGTCAGGGAACTAAGAAAAAAAAACGACAAAGAAGCTTGTAACTGTGGAGGCAAAACCTAGGGAACACCTGAGTACTAACCAGCAGTCTTGCAGGGATGGGAGATTGGGAAATCTTCCAATTCCATAACTGTGGTATGGCTCAGGGAAAGGCTGATCTTAATCCAGCAAAGCACGTAACTTCATCAAAAAGTGATTAAGGGATTCATTCTGTGCCTCAGTTTTCTTATTTGTGAAGTGGAGAATAATTATCTCTTTGCCTCATTACAAAGATGTTGTGAGCATGTGAGGGTATGAAGCCCCTAGATTTGGAAGAAGAGTAGAAAAGAGTCATAACATGTGTTACCTGTTGTCCCATATCGGTTATTAACTACTGGGTTAAAACAGGGCAGTTTGAAACTCAATTAGAAAGAAACATATCCCTTGGGAAGGCCAAGTTTCTGGGACTTGATCGTACATTTCATATCTGGTTCTGCTTTAAGTTGTGTGGGAGAATCACAGAATCCCAAGATAGGGCTCTTCTTGTCCAGGAGGTTATATCCTGTTTGAGGAGAACATCTTTTCAGTTCACCAAACATTTGAGTGCCTACTCTGTGCCTAGCTCGCAGCACTGGACCCTGGAGATAAGTATGAATAAGACATGGTTTCTGCCATCAGAGGTGGCTGGTGGGAGAGAGGTTCACATGTCTGTGAAGTGCTTTTGTTAGTTTATTCATAGCTGGAGAAGGCTGTTGTAAAAGTCAAAGCAAGAGAGAGGATTGAATCAGGACAGAGGCAATGAATATGGAGTTGAAGTTGGAGGGTAGATTTGATAGATTAGGTATTTAGAAGTTCAAATTTTGGGACTTTGAGGACTGCTTGGATGTGAGATGGAAATGAGGAATCTTAGGAAGACTTGAGCCTAGGGAAAATTTACTCATCCAGAATAAATTCTTCCTCCCTCTCCCTAAAACTGGGACCTCTGCTAGTCACCCCCAACTCATAGAGATATTTGAACAAGTCACAACCTTGGAGTTATTCTTAGTTACTCCCTTTTCGTACTCTCTCCGCCCTACTGCAGTACTGCCGTCCACTCCATCAGAAAATTCTTTTGGTTACATTCCAGTTTATATCCTGAATCTGCTACCTCTCTCCATCTTTTCTGTTACCATCCTGGTTCTAGCCACTGTCACCTACTGGACTGCTATAACATAGCTTCCTCATTGGCCTCCCTACTTCCTCTCTTGCCTCATTAAGTCACTTTTCTACGTGGCAGGGTGATCTTTTAAAAATGTAAACCAGATCACATTGTTCCCAAGTTAAAACCCTGAAAAGACTCCCCATCACAGTTGGGATAAAATCCAAAACTCTCACCATGGCCTACAAGGTCCTGTGTAATCTGGCTTCTTCCTTCCTCCGTGACCTTGTTACCACTTTCCTCCACCAAGCCAAGTTATTTCCAGCCTCAAGGGGGACTTGTGCCTATGCTTTTCCCTCTGCTTAGAAACATTTTTTTTTCTTCTGTTGGTAGTCTTGTCATGCTTGTCATAATTCAGTTCTCAGTTTCGATTATACTTCAGAGAAACCCTCCCTGACCACCCAATCTGAAGTGGCCCTTTCTACCAATCATATCACATCCATCACATTAGCTTATTTTATTTTACATTACTTAATGCTATCTGAAATTACCTTGTTTGGATATTTGTTGGCTTCAGGGGTTTTCAGTTTAAATGCTTATGGATGTCAAGTGGGTAATATAAGTGGGTGATTTGGGCCACAGTCGTCTGGGTGTAAGACGGTACGAAATGGTGGGAACTGAAGTGATCTCTAGGGCGCATGTGTCCTGGGTAAGGGGCAGGCGTGACTGCGACTTAATATTCAGGATTCCAGCAGAAGTTGCCTGTTTCAGAGAAGCTAGAAGTTGGCAATTCATTATAAACAGAAAAACTTAGGCACTGTGGGGACCAAACAGAATGCTACTGTGGGCAGGATGCAGACCAGCAGTCTCATTGGCAGCTTCTGGATTGTTCATTAACCCACTGGAATGTGATAAGAATCCTTGTCTGTCTGATTTGCTCTGTATCCCACACAGTACCTGGGATAGAGTAAGCACTCAATAAATGTTGAACTCAAACCAGGGCAGTTGACAGAAATTTCAGTACCCTCTGTGTATTGTGGTTTTATGTTCCTAAGAATAGACTTCTGATTGATAATACTATGCACCTGGGTCCTGGTGAGTACTTGCTTTCTGGTTGTTTGAAGAATGAGACTAAAACACTTTGCATATCTGCTTGGCTCTGGCTTTACTCTCTATATCCAGGAGAGGAAGTGACCACAGAATGTTGAGTTAGGAAGTCAGAAGTCTTCAGTTCCAATTTTAGCTGGGGCACTTACTGACTTGAGACCTTGAACAGACAGATCACTTGACCTCTCTGAGTTTGTTTCCTCATCTGTAAAATGGGAATAAATCCTGTCCTTCGTGCTTTGCAGGGCTATGAATTTCTAATAAGATGAATGAAAGCACTACAAAAAAGTCATTACAGAGACTTCCTGAGGACAGAAAGCTCCTCTCACTAAAGATGAGGCTGCTTCTCTTGTAAGCATGGAGAAGTTACCTGAATATTCATGTAGCCTAGAGGCCACCGTGTTTTTATGGTAAAAAATCCTTGCGTGTGAAGGCAGTGTTAATACTTTAATATTACTATTTCAATGTGTGTGGGTTTGAAATTTTTCAAAATAAAAATTTGGGGAAATATTTTAAAATGGTGGTTTATAGATTATTTTTATCAGTCATCAAAAATAGAAAAAAATATTTAAACCACAAAAGTGCACATCTAAAGGCCTGTTGATAGTCTTAATCAATTTCAATTAAGGTAATGAGAATACTCTTATTTAAAAGATGTTCTGGGGGATTCCCTGGCTGTTCAGTAGTTAGGACTCTGTGCTTCCACTGCAAGGGGCACGGGTTCGATCCCTGGTCGGGGAACTAAGATCCTGCAAACTGCACTGTGCAGCCAAAAACAAAAAAGATGTTCTGCAGTTAGAGATTATAGGAGGTAAGTAGGAAGCACATACTCTGGTGATGAGTTATCAATGATGATAGGTTGGGACTTCCCTGGTGGCCCAGTGGTTAAGACTCTGTGCTCCCAATGCAGGGAGCCCGGGTTTGATCCCTGGTCAGGGAGCTAGATCCCGCATGCATGCCACAACTAAAAGTTCGTATGCCACAGCTAAGGAGCCCGCCTGCCGCAACTAAGACCTGGTACAACCAACTAAATAAGTATTTAAAAAAATGATTATAGGTTATATCAGAAACCCAACATTGCCCCAAATTGGCCACATATCTAGAAACGATAATTTGGCATTCATGTTCCCTACAAAATTCCAGAAATATGAGTCTTCCAGGTGATCCTGGCTTGTTTTGAGCACACAGCTCTTGAGGCTGAGGCCCACTGATAGAACAGGTTGGCACTGCAGAATCAGCCACAGCAACCGAAAGCATGATTCATATACACAAACCTGGGAATGTCTTCTTGAGATTGTGACTGTATGTCCAAGTCTTCATTTCTTCAAGCTTCCAACTCTGATCCCAGGGTTCAGGGCAATTGGAAAATGAGTGTGGTTTCCACTTGCTTTCTATTCAGTATACATACCCAGTTTGAGTCCATTTTCATTTTCTTGGTCACATTAATAGTGGCTAACGTTGAGTGCGAAGCCTTCAATCCCTACCAACTCACTATTGTTTTTGCCTCAGCAAAACCCAGTAACCAACAACATCTTAGTTTTTATTTGGTGAAGTCTCACTTCCCCAAATCTTAATCTGTACAATTTATAGGGGATAGACACAGACCCTCCATGGTGGGCTTATAACCAATCAGCATATTCCTGGACTTTGCCTAAACTTTAGAAAAGTGAAAATATGTTTAATTTTCTGCTGGGATTGCTTAGTAAGTTGAATGTAAAGAAACTATGTGTAGTCCTGTCCAAGAATGAAGCCAACACAGGAAAGCAGCCAAAGATGTAGAGAGATGCTGTGCTGAGGATGCTGCTTGTTTAGACAGGTGGATCCAGACACACCTGAGGTTGCCACCACTGGACTCTCAGTTATAAGAGCCAATAAATTCCTGTTTATGATTGTCCGTTTGAGTTGGGATACTCTTACTTGCAACTGAGAGAGCCTTGACATCGGTATTATTAGAGAGTCCAAGTAAATTGCCCAAAGGCACATAAGCAATAAATGGCTTGCCCACGTCTTCAAGTTTAGGCCTATCTAGTACTAAAGTACATTCCTTTAGGGAATTCCTTGGCGGTCCAGTGGTTACAACTCTGCCCTTTCACTGCCGAGGGCATGGGTTCAGTCCCTGGGTGGGGAGCTAAGATCCTACAAGCTGTGTGGCCCGGCCAAAAAGATAATTAAAAAACTAAATTCCTTTCATTTGCAAAGCCAGAGGCAAGAATACAAATGAAGGCCCACATGCCATGCCATGTCTTAATATTTCTTATAAATTAAGCCGAGCTCAAATATGTTCTGTACTCATAACTTCCTGGAAGGCCAAGTTCAAATTTAGAATTCTTAGACTCAGGTCT